GTGACTGCATGGTGTCAGGAGGAAGAGGTGCATATCGGTGCAGGTCTATCCCTACCACCCGAGATGGGGGTGACGGCATGGTGTCAGGAGGAAGAGGTGCATATCGGTGCAGGTCTATCTGGGGTGGTTGTGGCTGACCCGGGCCCTGATACTGTTCGTCTCTGAGTCTCAGACCAGCTCGCCCCATTTCAGAAATCTGGTTTGTAGCTGTAGCTAGATTCTCCTCACAAGCTGTCAGACGCTCCTGCGCTGTCCGACATTCTCCTTGCAAACTCTGACAACGTTGGAGCAATGCCTCCTTCTCCTTTAATGCGATCTGCAACTGTTGTTGTAGCACATCGTTGTCTGAACACACGGTTTGGTACGCACAGTCTCTATCCCTAATCATCCCCTCATATTTTTGAGCCTGTACTGACAGCTCATTCTTTGAGAGGTCCCTCTCAATCTGAAATCCTTCTTTGGCCAATGCAGACGCACTCATCAAATTATCACATTTTTCCTTTTTAGCTTCATATCCTCTGGATAGCATGACATTTTGAGCAACCTGATGGTCCAATTCCGCTTTGAAGAGCAGAGAAATTTTTGCTAACCGTTCACGGCTCGATTTTGTGTCCTCTGACACTTTAGCTCCTTCTGCCAAAATTGTCAGTTCTGCAAATCTTTGATTTTCATCAAGGTCTTGTAATTGCCCTAATTGTTTACCAATAACTGAATTTGTTAAAATATGTAAAGCCGCTTGGACGACATCTCTGGATTGCAAGGGGTCAGAGTTTCTTTCTTCTTCCGCCATTATCTGCTATTTAGAAATTAAATAGGAGAATGGTTGATTAGGTGGTAAAATAAAATCAGAAAAGTCTCTCTATCCTGAAATATTTACTCTTATTTAGTGATTTATCAATTAAACGTGCGTTATCTTTTAGCAAATGAGTAAACTTTTTTCAACTCTGTGAATATTTGTAACTGTTTCTTTTTTTTTTTTAAAGTTTCTAACTTTTATTGTGTACCTTTTATAAGGGATTACCAGTGAATAAAGTTTTTGGTAAATGCTCTTTGCATAAATACCTTTATAACTTTTAAAATGCAAGATAACAGTGATTATTCAGCTTTGAGGAACGTTTATTAACTCAAAAATGCCTTTAAAAAGAAAATACGTTTAATTTCACTAAAATAACCTAAAAAGCGAAGTGAAAACCTGTGATCTCACGTCTTCTCCAGAAGATGGCAGTACAACCTTATTAATTTTAACTCAGACACTGTTAGTGTTATCCAGTAGGGGAGCTATAACTTCCTGTGGCGTCCGGTCGTTAGCTGTTAGCTTAAAATTAGCATCGGCTAGACTCGGTTAAAACCAACATTTCTGAACGGATTTTTTACACAAACGTGGCAAGATTTTAGCAATTAGACTTTGAAGACTAACACAACGCATCAGAATACAGCTTTTAAAGCGTTTTTGAACTTTAAAAAGCAGATTTTATTTCCCTATGAAAACGAGTTTCATTTCCGGGTCACGTGACTGAAATCACCAATGACAGAGCAGCACGGGGGTGAGAGGAAATGACGTAGGCACGTCATTCACTTTCTCAGCAAATCAGAACGCTCCACAGCAGCAAATCCAACCAATCACGAAGCGTTTTTTCCAACTAGCATGTTAGATTAGCCTGAAATAAGTTCGTCAACTTTTCGTCTTTTAAACTGTCAAAATGCACTTTTTCTGTTAAAAACTGTAACGAATCAATTCTGAGTTGCACGGAGTCTGCTACTCCGGTCTCAAAAACGTCTTTCTAGCTATTTAAACAACTCGTCCGAACCTTTTCAGAACCGAGCCGGACCAGAACCGCGTCTGGACCGTCTTTAAACAGAATGAAGCGTTTCCACCCAAACCCAGCTTTTAGTTACCATAACAGGCGTACAATTTCAGCTTTCATAAAGACTCAATGACACTATTTCAGCTTTCATAACATCGCCAGCGTAACATCGCCAGCGTAACACAGCGTAAACATGCAGAGCCAAGCTCCAAGCGGCGCAGCTTCAGAGGCGTTTCAGCACAGCTGACAAACTGTTATTTTTCATGCCAACATGTAAAATCAATCTTTACACGAATACACAGTCATTTATGAACACGTAACGGGCCACCAGATGTAGTATGACATATGCAGGATATATTCATACATTTACGGGTTCTTCATTTTTCTGACTGTGTAAATGTCGTGCATTGAATCTAACAGAAATGTAACGAGAGACGTTATTTATCTTTGACCCATCAAAATGAATGCGGTCATTTATTTGCAGAATCAAAGTTTAACATCAAACATTTACATTAATTTGGCAAAATATGAAAACAATAACATGGCTAGTTTCACAGGAAGTGGGCACAATACGGCGATTGTCCTCACTTTCAGCAGAACAGTAGACATCAATCACACGGCGGTGATTGAGAACTTTGCTTCAGACATTTCTAAAATATCTGTAATGATTTTAGGAGAAAGGAGAGTTTAAGATGGAAAATGGAGATTTATCTTACAGAGAGATGTGTGAGGGAATTTATCTGTTTGACCAGAACGGGCACGCTCCTTCAGATCTCAGCTTGGCCACGGTACGCTTGGTCGAAATAGAACTTTTACCTGGTTGATGATAGATCAGGTCGGCGTGAAGTCCTTCTTTTGACTCTTTCAGCGTCTCCGTTGAGAACAGCTAAAATACTTCGAGAGTCGTGCGAGGTTATCCAAACAGAAGTTATAATTCCCAAAATCGTCCCTGCATTCTGGATTCAAGAACTCTGAACTCCTTCAGAGCTCTACTCCTTTAAGCTCTTTTCATCTCGTCGCGTCTCTCTTCGACAGAGACTCGACACAGACATCAGACCCTTTTTTGACACTTCTCCATGAGCTGCATCCGAGAGCGTTGAACTGGGAAGTTGCCACATTTAAATGGGCCGACTTCTGGTTCATTTGAGAGCTTTCTAATTGGTGGATGGACCAGAACAGAGGTGTGGTTTGTGATGTAAGGGGTTATGAAAATTCAAGGATAGAGATTAAGATTGTTTAAAACAGACAGAAAGATTATTGGAGAAAACCAGACTTTGTGGAGTCAAACTCTCCTGTATCTTCTGTAAAAGTTAAACATGACATTTCTTTTCAGTAAACTTTTTAGTTGACCGAAACCTGAACTTTAACACACACTTACAAACTTGCTCATTGAAGACAGAAAAATCAAGAAATGCATATTACCCTGATTTCTTCTTTGAATGAGGAATAAAAATCATTACTTACTGTTTATGTAAATAAAAATGAGTAGTTCTCTTCAACCTGTAAACATTGTTTGAACTAACACAATTTGATTATTAAAACATTTGTAAAGTAGTAATGATCATAGAGAATTGTCATTTCTACTTGATTAATTCAAAAAAAAGAAAGTCTCCGGATGGGTCAAACTGTATTTCTGGATCAGATCAATGAAATAACAGTTTCTGTCCATCTGGTCAGATTTGACATCAGGTCAAGTTCACTACAATTTTCACCAAAGAATAATTAATAAAATCTTTGGCAACTGTTTTTATACGATTAGTTGGATTTGTTTGTTTAAACAAAAAGGAACAAACCTCCAATCTCTGTTTGGTGTCGCTTCCCAAGAGGTCTCGTATTTCTTCGTTGTAAATCTCCAAGAAAGAAGCCCTCACAAGGAATTTTGTGTTTTCTGCACACTAGCTTGCACACAAAAATAAAACACAATTATTCTCTCCAAGTAAACACAGCCTAGACAGGCCTGGACAATAACTAAATCCATCTGTTTTGTGCATTTATGCATAATGTACCTGCAGAAGAAAAAGGCTCTAACAACAAACAAACAAGGAAAACGTCTATTTTCATTGTCACCTGCTGCTAAAAGACCATTTATGTGTTTGTCTGTCTGTTACTCTCAATTCAATTCAATTCAATTCAAAAATACTTTATTAATCCCAAAGGGAAATTATTTGTTGTTGTAACTCGTGATCCTCATTTCATTAAAATATGTTATAGATGCTGATGGCTGTAAGCAGGAAGGATCTCTTGTAAAGGTCCATCCCACAATGGATCCTAAAAAACTGGCTGTAGATGCCGTCCGATCCATCCACCTAGTCTCGGCTGGCCTCTCGGTTCCCCCGATCTGTAGGACCGCCCTAATGGCGGGCAGAACTCCTCCCAGAGTGATGGCCACACCACCCAGCAGTCTGCCGAGCTCCTCGTCGTTGCGGACAGCCAACTGTAGGTGCAGAGGGACGATCCTGTCCTTCCGCTGTCATGAGCCGTGTTTCCTGCTAGTTCCAGGATCTCAGTGGTCAGGCACTTAGGCACAGATGGCAGGTAGATGAGAATGCGTCCAAAGAATATCCTTTCAGCTCATTTGAGATTTGGGGCTGTAATTGAGATATTATTTGAGCTTTTGAGATGTTAATCAGCTGCTGTTGGTTGTAGAAAACTGCCTCATTGCCATGGTTACACATCATAATAAATGTCCAAAACTAAAAAAGTTTCAGTAAAAATCCTTCCAGCTGCACAGCATCCGATACCAGAGGAAACAATCATCCAAAAAATGTGATTTACATCCAGAAAAAGAGGAATTAAAAAAAGCAAAATCTCAGAATGAAAGTATCAGAGCTGCTCCAACATGCAGCCACCTTGAGCGGCGCAATTCTAGAACCATAGCCAACGTGGTTCAAAACACCAAAGTTCATGCTCAATAAGCCAGGTAAAAAATTCAGTCAGGTCATCTGGATGGTTTATTTTTTTGTTGTTTATGTTGAGACGTTTCGTCCTTCATCCAAAGGATTTCATCAGTCCATCAGTTTTGAACCACTTTGGTTGTGGATGCCTCAGAGGAGTCGGTGGGGAGAGGACGGGCTCCAGAAACCATCTTATCAGCAGCAAACTGATTGGTCCACTATGTGAGTGCTGCTTGTGGGACTGAGTTTGTTGTGGCTCTTTGGACGTATGGAGTCCTTTGGATAAAGGACTAAGCATTTCAGATAAAAAATAAAAAAATAAAGAAATTGTCGAGATGACCTGACTGAACTAAGTTGGGTTATCTTTCAGTGAGTAGGAGTACAACTATTCAGCAAACCTGAATGCTCTCAAAGGTGTGCTCAAACGCCCGTGGGATGACGCCTCTCTGAACTGCAGGCTCCAGCATTCCCTGCATGGTGAAAGATTTGCCACTTCCAGTTTGTCCGTATGCAAAGATGGTGCCGTTGTATCCCTCTGTGACACCCTGTAGAGACGAAGCATTAAGGTTCAACACAGCCCAGATCTGTGTGGTTGACGGTGGAATGATTAGTAAATAATGAGGTGTCTGTGGCTGAGGGTGTCAAGTAACTAACACGATGCTACGTTAAAAACACTACAGCTTACCTCAACCAAAGGATAGGCAATCTCGTTGTACAGCTGCTCAGTTGTTTGATTAATATAGTAGGTTCCATCAAAGGTGAACTGCTTCGTTGGCTCATCCACCGCTCCGGGTTTTTCAATAAAGCACTGACAGCGGTCCAGGTCCATGGTCAGCACCATCTTGGAGCTCAGAGCCTTTTCTCTGTCGTTCAGGGGCCTGCACCGGACCACAACTTTCACCGACTCTGACCCCATTTCTCAACATTCACTCCAAAAGCAGCTGGTTATGTAACTGATATTGATAAAATCTGCTAAAGGACATACTCTCAGTCATTTTGCATAAAATCCACGCAGCAGAACAGAAGCTAACAGAAAGACAACTAAATCAATGACCAGCTCTAACAAACTAACTGTTACAGTCTCTAAAGGACTTTTAAATTTTTTTCACCAATAAGATATAATAAAAATCCCAACTGAAATATTTCGGACGCACTGACTGACCTCGTCCGGTATATTTCGGGTCTTCTGTTTCCGCTTCCTCGCAGCTTGTGGCGTTCTGACGTTGCCTAGCAACCTCTAAAGTCCGTTCAAGTAAAATAAAATAAAAAATCATAAAAAAAAGACCGAAGCAGCAGCCTTTTTGGAAAGCAGAGAGATAACAGGTAAACCATTAAATGTTTTGCCTATTATTTCCGTATCCTATAATTAGGCTTACAGACTCTGGTTTATTTATTGCAGCATTTTTTAGATGCCATGACCAGATTTATCCTGATGCATGCTCAATAACCAGATGACCAGATTTAGTTTCAATAGAGTCCCTGAGTTTCATCTTTTCCTGAACCAAAGCCTAATGGACTTGAATGAATTACTAATATATACAGTGTCCTTGGACACCCAAGTAAAAACTAGATGGCTTAGTACTACACTCATCTTTTAATCAAAATAAAAAGTGGAAATTATAATATACAGTACACCAAAACTGCATAGCTTTGCGGATGTGTAGACAATATTCTTCACTATCAGATTATCTTAATTTTTTCTTATACTGTATCTACTTTTTCATTATAATAAATGGCAGAAAGAGGCTTTGTGATATTTAATATCAGATTTGAGTTTGTTAAATCAGGAAAATTAAAAAGTATTTTCATTTATATTTTAGCCAGTTAGATAAACACATTCAAGTAATTAACTGCAAACTGAGCTTTAATTTGAAGTTTCTTATTCAAGTATCCTGATGCATGCTCTTATTCAAGTAGTTAAGGATTTTTAAAATGACTGCTTTTGTATTCTCCTTTACTGAGAATTTAGAAGGCTTATAGGTCGATCCATATGAGTTATTTCTATGGCTGATACACATAAAAATATAAAAAAGAACATTCTTGAATAAATAAAAATAAAACTTGATTGTGGGCTATTCAGCTGCTGCTGCTACATCATTTTCCTACCTGCTAAATTGATTAACTTTGCACAGATATGGCCAATAACCAGTTTTTTTTATGTGGCCAGTATTGGCTATATGATCAGTCTTTTTTATTATTATGAAATGTCAATTATGTTGGAATACATCCTCAATGTACAAACCAGATTCCAAAAAAGTTGGGACACTAAAGAAATTGTGAATAAAAACTGAATGCAATGATGTGGAGATGGCAAATGTCAATATTTTATTCATAATATAACATAGATGACAGATCAAAAGTTTAATCTGAGTAAATGTAACATTTTAAAGGAAAAAAATGTTGATTCAAAATTTCACAATGTCAACAAATCCCCAAAAAGTTGAGACAAGTAGCAATAAGTGGCTGGAAAAAGGAAATTGAGCATATAACGAACAGCTGGAAGACCAATTAACACTAATTAGGTCAATTGACAATATGATTGGGTATAAAAAGAGCTTCTCAGAGTGTCAGTGTCTCTCAGAAGCCAAGATGGTAAAAGGATCACCAATTCCACCATTGTTGTGCAGAAATATTAGTGCAGCAATACCAGAATGGTGTTACCCAGCGTAAAATAGCAGACTTTTAAGTTATCATCATCAACCGTGCATAACATCATCAAAAGATTCAGAGAATCTGGAACAATCGCTGTGCGTAAGGGTCAAGGCTGTAAAACTCTACTGGATGCTCGTGATCTCCGGGCCCTTAAACGTCACTGCACCTCAAACAGGAATGCCACTGTCAAGGAAATAACAGAATGGGCTCAGGAATACTTCCAGAAAGCATTGTCTGTGAACACAATCCACCGTGCCATCCGCCATTGCCAGCTGAAACTCTACAGTGCAAAGAGGAAGCCATTTCTAAGCAAGCTCCACAAGCTCAGATGTTTGCACTGGGCCAGGGGTCATTTAAAATGGAGTGTAGCAAAATGGAAGACTGTTCTGTGGTCAGATGAGTCATGATTTGAAGTTCTTTATGGAACACTGGGACGCCATGTTATCCGGACCAGAGAGGACAAGGATAGCCCAAGTTGTTATAAACGCTCCGTTCAGAAGCCTGCATCACTGATGGTATGGGGTTGCATGAGCGCTTGTGGCATGGGCAGCTTGCATGTCTGGAAAAGCACCATTAATGCAGTCTCAAGTCCACTGAGTCTTTCTTTCTCATGATAGTCTTTCTGGTTCAAAATCACTGTGCACCTTCCTTTGTCTGCTGGGAGAATGATGATGTTTTTGTCCTTGCTAAGTGGTGAGTGCATCCCTCTGCTCTCTACTGATGTTGGAAGGTGGTGGTTTGGCATTGCTGAGGCAGGATGAAACTTTGATACTGAGCTGTTCTGCTTCACCCTCTTTCATTTTGTTGTTGCGGATGGCTGATTCTGTGGCTGTGATCATCTCCACCAGAGGAATTCTACTTGGTGCAACCGCAAAGTTCAGTCCCCTGGCAAGAATCTCCGTCTCCGGCTGGGTGAGCTGTCTGTCAGATAAATTCTTCACCCACTTTTCTGTCTCCCTGGCATGTAATTGACTACTGGAGTGTTGTCCTACACTGAATGTGTTGTTATTGGAATAGTGATGGTGTTGATGAGTTATTAGTAAGTTAAACTTGTTTTGTTATCGAGTCTTGGACTTGACATGCTGTGCTAAGCGTGCCTGATCTGTACAGTCCAACACTTGCTGAAGTGTGGTCTGATCTAGACACATAGTTAGTTTCTGTTTAATGTGCTCTTCTTTGGCCTTCAAGGCCTCAATAGTAAAATTGGTCTGTCTCACCCGTTCATTCAGCAGCTGTGTCTGTGCCTTCTGAAGGATCTTGCTTGCCCGGTGCCCGCTGACCGATGATTTTAGTTTCAGGCTCTTGGGAATGATGCCACTTTGTCGACATCTGAGGTTGAATCGCAAGTGGTTCCTGTAGTTTGCCCTCTTCCTTGCTGTTTTCTCAAACTCTCTTACTAGTTTGAGGCAATCCTGGCCAAAGTGGTTCAAAATATCCTGATGCATGCTCAATAATCCAGGTAGAAAAATCCGAAAAAGTTCAATCTGGTCCTCTCGACACTCAAAAAAACAAACAACAAAACAAAGCAAAAAAATATAGAAACGTTTTGTCTCTCATCCGAGCGACTTCCTCAGTCTGAGGTGCTGTATTCAGCTCAGTCTCTTAAATGGCAGCTTCTCAGAGTGGATCAACCAGTTTGCTGCTGACAACCAAAACCAGCTGCTCACATGGTCAAGAAGGACCATCAGCCTAACAATGGATCATTAGCACACTGATGGCTGTTTACTATTCACAGGGGGTTGAGTGATACTAGCAATAACAGCAGTGTAAGAGGGGGACAGTTGGATCCGGAGGCCTCCACCCCTGTTTAATGATGGACGATTTCTTTTCACAAAGATGGCCTCCTTTACTCCTCTCTCAAACCATCGTTCCTCTCTGTCCAGGAAGTGAACATCTTCATTCCTGAAAGAGTGACTGCTGGCCTGGAGATGAGTGTAGACCGCAGAATCCTGGCCTGATGATGTTGATCTTCTGTGGTGGGCCATCCTTTTGGTTAGTGGCTGTTTAGTTTCCCCGATGTAAGACTGATCACAGCCCTCCTGACACTGAACAGCATACACAATATTACTCTGTTTGTGCCAGGGGACTGGATCTTTGGGATGAACCAGTCTTTGCCGTAATGTATTTTGGGGTTTAAAAGCCACTGGGATGTTCTGTTTAGAAAATAAACGTCTCAGTTTCTCTGATACTCCCTCAACATATGGAATGACCACTGGTCTGGGCTGGGTTCCTCCTTTTCACCTGATGGCTGACTGGAGTCATGTTTGGGTTTCTTCTCTACTTCCAGGACTCCAACACTGGAGGTATCAGTATCTTCTGATTTGGTTGAAGACCAATATGTAGAAGAAGGGTCCATGACTGAGGTGGTAGATACAATATTTGAGGTGTGACAGAACAGTCTTGGGTCAATGGAGGGTGGTGTGTATGTTTGGCTGTGGGCAAGAGATGAGGATGCTGAGCTTGTTCCTGAACTGAACCTATTGAAGAATGTATTCAGTTCATTGGCTCTGTCCAGGCTTCCATCCTTCTGATCCTCCTTCTACTTGAAGCCTGTGATCCGTTTCATCCCTGACCACACCTCTCTGATATTGTTCTGTTGGAGCTTCTTGTACACCTCCTTGCTGTTTCTTATCTTGACTTTTAGTTGCTTCTGTGTGCTCCTCAATAATTCCCCGTCTCCCTCCCTGAAGGCTCTTTTTTTCTGGTTTAGCAGTTTCTTCAGGTCAGTGGTAATCCAGTGTTCGTTATTGGGGAAGCATCTCACCATTCTGGTGGGGATGGTGTTGTTTACACAGAAGTTTATATAGTCGGTCAGGTCTGCGGGAGGGTCTGGAGATTTCCTGGTGGGCTGGTATGATGTGTGGGCTGTAGAGCCAGCGTTCCCTGTTTTTTTTTATTTTTTAGATATTTTTATTAACAACATATAAACACAGAACACCACTGCGGTCGAGGCTGCCAGCGCTCGCTTTTTTTTTCTTTTTTCTGACCTGTCAATCAATCCAGTAGGTGTGTCAGCAAATGACCAATCGGCAACCTCAATTTGTCCCGAAGGTAAATGCCCCTTGTCTGTGAAGCTGCTCTGCAGCTGCTCGGGGTGTACGCTGGAGCATGAAGTCTGAACCCTCTGCGTACAGTACACGTGTACGTACGCGTGAACGGATGTACGCGGCAGTATACTGGAGGCTTAACAGTTCAATAGCTGGACTGCAGAGACGACACTTCACAGTAACATGTCCAAGATTACACCATCTGTTGTTCACAAGCACTGCCAACCCACCTCCTTTCCTTTTGCCACTCTTTAAATCTCTATCTGCTCATATGGTCAGAAAGCCTGGCAAGGAAACGCTGGAGTCAGGGATATGATCCTGCAGCCATGTCTCAGTGGAACACATAACACTGCATTCCCGATACTCTGGATGGGTCCTTGTTAGGGCTTGAAGTTCATCCAACTTGTTTCCCAGCGATCTCACATTGCCCATCATGACTGATGGAAGAGATGGTTTAAACTGCATTCTTTTCTCTTTCTCCCTCTTCTTTGCTCCTGCTCTGCATCCACGACGCCTCCTTTTCAACTCATTTGGGATTTGAGGCTGTAGTTGAGATATTATTTGAGCTTTGGAGATGTTAATCAGCTGCTCCCGGTTGTAAAAAAACAACCTTGTTGTTACGGTTACGCATCATAACAAATGTCCAAAAGCAAAGATATTTCTGTAAAAATCCTTCCAGCTGCACAGCATCCGACACCAGAGGAAATAATCATCCAAAAAAAGCGATTTATATGCAGAAAAAAGAGGAATTAAAGTTTTCAAAAGTAATATCTCAGAATGGAAGTAACAGAGCTACTCCAACATGCAGCCACCTTGAGCGGCGCAATTCTAGAACTTTAAAAGATAAACTTTAAATTGTTGTGGTTCCATACCTAAAAAACAATTGTAAACACTTGATGCTTTACAAGCACATAAAAATATCTTTAAAAATCATAAAGCAGCTAGTACAAAATTGTCTGTCTGACAAACAAGCACCCTAAATAAATGTTGTACTTGTTAGTGGAACTATATACATGTACATACTATATACAAGTGCCAACACTAATAAATGCAGTAAGTGAATCACCCCCGTAAGACAATGTGATTTTAAAGTAAAAAAACAAAACAAAATAATAAATGTGCAAAAGAAATAAATGTGTCACTCATTTTGAAACCTTTGAAACTGGTAATCCACATGTCCCTGTGAAAGGGGCTAGCACCCATTTGTTTCTGGAAGTACTTTAAGTTTTGGCTTTATGTGAGTTCTTGTGTAGTTTTGGGGCCTGCTGAGTGTTGGCGTTTTCCTCCCACTCATAGCAGTGTAAAAGGGGTGGAGGCCTCCGGGTTCGACTGTCCCCCTCTTACAATGCTGTGATTGCTAGTATCACTCAGCCCTCTGTGAATAGTAAACAGCCATCAGTGTGCTAATGATCCATTGTTAGGCTGATGGTCCTTCTTGAGCATGTGATCAGCTGTTTTTGGTTGTCAGCAGCAAAACTGGTTGATCCACTCTGAGAAGGTGATATTTAAGAGACTGAGCTGAATACAGCTCCTCAGACTGAGGAAGTCTCTCGGATGAGAGACGAAACGTTTCTACATTTTTTTGTTGTTTTGCTTTGTTTTGTTTTTTTGAATGTCCAGAGGACCAGATTTAACTTTTTTAGATTTTTCTACCTGGATTATTGAGCATGCATCAGGATACTCATAGCAGTGGTTGACCCGGGCACAACTCAGCAGACACGGCGGCTCATCCAGCGTCTGGGAGTAATATTTAATCAGCTCACCGACAGTAGTAAATCCTGTCTTGCATTTCTACAATAAAAGACACAAAAAAATGACTGCCAAAATACTAGAACTATTGTTTACAGAAATTTGTCTTGACAGTTGTTTTAGTTCAACTGGTCCACAAAAAGCTACATGTACATGTATTTTGCATATTGCCCAGGACATCCTTGTAAAAGAGATTAATAATCTCAATACCATACCAGTCCACTATATTTATAAAGCACTTAAAGCAGCTACAAGGCCAACCAAAGTGATGTACAGACAAAACAACAGGTAACACACAAAGCAAAATACAAAATGAGGTAAATCAGAATATAGACAAAAAACGATGCAGATAATGACGACAAACCATGGATTTCTTCCTGGTAAAATAAAGGTTTAATAATGTAGCCAACAAAGTTCAGTCAGGTCATCTGGACCATTTCTTTCATTCTTTCTTTCTTTTTTTGGTTGTTGAAACGTTTCATCCTTCATCCAAAGGACTTCATCAGTCCAAGGAGCCACAACAACTCAGTCCCACAAACAGCAGACTAACATAGTGGACCAACCAGTTTGCTGGTGATAAGATGGTTTCTGGGGTCAACCCTCTCCCCAGTCAACTCCTCTGAGGCAGCCATAGTGGTTCACAACATCACAGTTCATGCTCAATAATCCAGGTAAAAAAATCCAACAAAGTTCAGTCAGGTCCTCTGGATGGATTCTTTTTTTTTTTGTTGAGACATTTTGTTCTTATCCAAAAGGCTTCATCACGAAGTCAACGGGGGAGAGGGTGAGCCCCAGAAACCATCTTATCACCAGCAAACTGGTTGGTCCACTATGGGAGTGTGCTGCTTGTGGGACTGAGTTTGCTGTGGCTCTTTGGACTGATGAAGTCCTTTGGATGAAGGATGAAACGTCTAAAAAAAAATCAAATGTCCAGATGATCTGACTGAACTTTGTTGAATTTTTTTTACCTGGATTATTGAGCATGGACTTTGGTGCTACAACATGTATGTTATTGAATGTTGTATTCAAAATGCAAATTTAGCTTGATGGATTTTCACAGAAACAACCTAAGCTTCAATGGTTTAATATTCATCTACAGTTTAGTCAACATTTTCTAATATGGTTTCTTTTAAAAATCTAAACAAACATTTACCTTTTAGAATTGGCTGTTAAACTTGTGCAGAGACTAACATGCCATAACTATTACCGGTCACAGTCTGTCCTTTAACTGTTTGGTATTTTTGTGTATTTTCCTTCTCTGCTTATTGTGGTTTTTTCATTCTGCCCCTTGTGTGATTCTGTTCCCCTGTATCTGATTCTGTTGTGTAGTAGAACATACGGATGAGATGTATTCATACTGTTAAAACGGATTCTTTCATTTTTCTGGACTGTATAATGTACGTGCATTGAATGTAATAAAATGTGGACGTGAGACGTTAATTATCTTTGACTCACCACGACAGTGGGTCATTTATTAACAGAATCAAGTTTAGCACATCACACATTTACATTAATTGGCAAAAATGAAAATGACAGCTTATAAATCAGTTTTACAGGAGTGGTAAACAACACGGCGGT